CGGCGGCGGCGGCGGCGGCCGCGTGAGCCGTTAGCGACGGGCCGCCGCGAACCGGAACCAAAACCAAAAAAAAAAAAATCACAATCAAACCGGAACCGGAGCGTGGTCGCCGTAGTGGGAGTACCGCGTCTTCTCGGTGTCCGCCATGGCTCTTATCTGCTCCAGTGAGTGCGGGAAGCGGACGGTGGCGGAGAGAAGCCCCCCCCCGCTGGGCTGTGTGGAGGGGGCGGTTTACCGGGTTGAGGGATTACCGGGAAGGCGGCGGCCTCTGTCAGGCCCCGCCAGGCCCTGGTCGGTGCCGTAACCTCTTCCCCTCCGCAGTTTCCAACGAGGTGCCCGAGCATCCCTGCGTCTCCCCGGTTTCCAACCACGTCTACGAGCGGCGGCTGATCGAGAAGTACATCGCAGAGAATGGCACCGACCCCGTCAACAACCAGCCCCTCTCCGAGGAGCAGCTCATCGACATCAAAGGTGACGGGGGCGGGGGTGGGATTTGGGGGGTTATGCCGGTTCGCCCCCCCCGCCCCCGGGGGAAGCACCAGAGGCTTCACCGTGTCAGGAGCGGGTCCGTGGGACGGAGGGATTGACGGGAAGGTGGAGGATGGGGTTGACGCGTTCACACTGTCTCGTTGACAGTTGCCCACCCGATCCGGCCCAAGCCTCCGTCTGCCACGAGTATCCCGGCCATCCTGAAAGCCCTCCAGGATGAGTGGGTAAGCGCTGGGTCACGGCTGGGGACGGAGCTGAGCGCTAGCGGCTGCCTGCACTGGGGCTAACGCATTTCTCCCTGCCTGACTCTGCTTTGCCCCGCTAGGATGCCGTCATGCTGCACAGCTTCACTCTCCGCCAGCAGCTGCAGACAACACGCCAGGAGCTGTCCCACGCGCTCTACCAGCACGATGCTGCCTGCCGTGTCATCGCTCGGCTCACCAAAGAGGTCACCGCTGCCCGAGAAGGTGAGGTGGGGGCTGTGGGCCTCAGGGAGGGGGAGCTGGGGAAGAGAGACCAGCGTGTGGCCCAGCAGCAGGTAGTCTTGGTAGCGATTGCTGCGCTGGTTGCCTTCTCCTTTCCCCTTCGAGCGCCTGTTAAACTCATGGCCTTTCTCTGCCTCCGCAGCTTTGGCAACTCTGAAGCCACAGGCTGGCCTCATCGTGCCTCAGACGGTGCCGTCCTCCCAGCCAAACGTGGCGGTAAGTCCCTGCTGCCCGTCTTGGCACTTTTCCCCTTGGTCCCCCGCTGCCAGTCTTCACTCATTTTCCCTGTCTTCCACCTCTGGGTGTAACCAGCCCCATTCTCTGTCCCGTACAGGGATCTGGGGAGTCCATGGATCTGGGAGAGCTTGTGGGCATGACCCCCGAGATCATCCAGAAGGTAAGGGGACTTCCACTTGTGCTGCCACAGGCTTTAGGGGTGGCTGTTCTCCAGCTTTCCCCCACGGGAGCCCCAGTCAGTCTGTGAACACCCTTCTCTTGTTTCACAGCTTCAAGACAAGGCTACGGTGCTGACCACGGAGCGTAAGAAGGTAAGCGGCCCCGTCTTGTTCCGAAGATGCTGCAGCAGCCAGGGCGTGCCGTGCCCCGAGAGAGGCCGATGTTTATCTCCCATACTGTTTTCCTTTTGCAGAGAGGCAAGACGGTTCCAGAGGAGCTGGTGAAGCCAGAGGAGCTCAGCAAGTACCGGCAGGTCGCCTCACACGTGGTGAGTGCTGTGATGTGAAATTGGGGCTCTAAAACTCCCCCCTTGTAGCTTGGCATATAGGCCTCTCCTGTGCCGCTTTGCAGCATCAATAAGCGACAGATCTGCTGCTGGGCAGAGCAAGGCGAGGGTCGTGACTCTCTGTGCCACAGCCAGCAGGGACCTGTGCTGCAGTAGATGTGGCACAGGCTCCCGCTGTTGGAATGAAACACCCTGGGCTCCCTCGCAGGCCTCTCTATTCCCTTTGGGGGCGTTTTCTTGCTTGTGGCATTAATCTGGCGTTCTCCTACCTCGCGCAGGGGCTGCACAGCGCCAGCATCCCAGGGATCCTTGCCTTGGACCTCTGTCCTTCCGATACCAACAAGATCCTCACCGGTAAGGGAGCCTCCTCCGCTTGCTGGGGACTGCTTGGTGTCAGCTAAGAGCCTGTGGCTGCCTGGGAGCAGGTCCCTTTCTCTGTGCTTTCGGGGGATAGAGGTGGGGCAAGGGGCATGAGGGATTCTCTCGCCTCATGGCAAAGCTTCTCAGGACAGTGGTCCCCAGGAAAGGTGGGTGGACTTGGACTTGGTTGGCTGCAGACTCCTGTCTCTCACCGCTCCCCACTTTGTTTTCCAGGCGGGGCTGATAAAAACGTCATCGTCTTTGACAAGAGCTCGGAGCAGATCCTGGCGACGCTCAAAGGGCACTCCAAGAAGGTTACCAGTGTTGTCTTCCATCCGTCTCAGGTGCGTTTGGCCTCTTCCCTCACAGCCAGGCTGCCCCAGATCAGGCTTTCTGGGCCCTTTTCTGGTGCTCTGTTCCGGTGGGCTCTCCACCTCCGTGCGGGCTGGTGATGGGCCAGTTCTTGCCTGTGGGGAGTGCTCTCGGATGGAGAGGTGAACGACTTTTGACGTTAACTTCCCTGTCTAGGACCTGGTATTCTCAGCTTCTCCCGATGCTACTATCCGGATCTGGTCTGTGCCCAACGCCTCGTGCGTGCAGGTCGTCCGTGCCCACGAGGGCTCTGTGACGGGGCTGAGCCTCCACGCAACAGGCGACTACCTCCTCAGCTCTTCTGATGACCAGGTGAGACCCAGCCCCACACCACAGGCCCCCTCCCCACTGCTGCTGATCTCTCTCTACTCAACGCAATGTTCCTCTCTTCCAGTACTGGGCTTTCTCTGATATCCAGACAGGCCGTGTCCTCACCAAGGTGACGGATGAGAGCTCTGGCTGTGGTAAGGCTTACGGCTAAGTATCCTCACCCCGGGGGGGCTGTCACAAGCCTGCGGAGAAGGGATTTTTCTGCCCACGGGTCCCTGGGCTCTGGGAGCTCAGAAGAACTCGGGCGGGGTGGGGCCTGCTAACAAAGTCAGAAAGTCTCCCCAACCCTCCGAATCTCCCCATGTCTCTGCAGCTCTCACCTGCGCCCAGTTCCACCCGGACGGGCTCATTTTTGGAACTGGGACGATGGACTCTCAGATCAAGATCTGGGATTTGAAGGTAAGGCTGGCCCTGGGTGTGCAGGGATGGGGGACAGGGAGGCGGTGCATTGGGGGTGTGCTCAGTTTGGTGCCCAGCAGAGTGTTCAGTCCGAGGTGCGGTGCCCGTGTCTGCTGGAGTGGGCTTTGGGGAATCTTTTCTGAGGTTTCCTCCAACAAGATAAAGCTTTAGCTCAAGAGCAGTCACTTCTGGTGCCGTAGCTGGTGATCAGGGGTTGCCTTGTGACAAGGTGCTGTTTGCTGTGTCCCCAAGAGAATCGGCGAGGAGGAGGAGGGTTCGCAGGCAGGCTGCCTGGCTCTGCTGCGGGATGAGTCTGTGCTGGATGCGCGTGGGCCTTGCTCGGTCCCACAGTTGTGAATTTGTCAGCGCAGCCGCGCTTTAGCGATGCACTGTAGCTCCAGCGCGGGAGCAGCTTCGGCTGTCAGCAGGTCAGCTCTATAGCACCGCGTCAGCCTGTCGAGCCGTAGTTCAGGGCAAGTAACGAGCAGGTGGAAGCGGCACAGTCTCCGTTCACCTGCCTGTGTTTTAACGCTGAAGCAGACTGGTGATAGAGAGTCGAGCTGCGGTTGCAAGGACCTGCTCTCTGATTTCCCGGCTGTGAGGGTGCTGCGGTTCCCTGCTGGCAGCCTGTCTCTAACTGCCTTATCCCCAGGAACGCACCAACGTGGCCAACTTCCCGGGGCACTCGGGCCCCATCACCAGCATCGCCTTCTCCGAGAACGGCTACTACCTGGCCACGGCAGCGGACGACTCCTCTGTCAAGCTCTGGGACTTGCGTAAGCTTAAGAACTTCAAGACGTTGCAGCTGGACAACAACTTTGAGGTGTGTAACTGTCCCCTTTTCCCCCCATTATGGGCAGGCTGGCAGGCTCCTCTCCCAGTGCCCACCATCCCCACTTCCGACTGCGCTCCTCTGCTTTGGGGGAGCCTGATGCGGAAGTGCTGCCCACCCTGGCACCCCGAGAGGTCGTTTGGAGCTTTCTGGGCCTGGTCTGAAGCCTCGTTCCCCTTCTCCTCCGCAGGTGAAGTCTCTCATCTTTGACCAGAGCGGCACCTACCTGGCCCTGGGCGGGACGGATGTCCAGATCTACATCTGCAAGCAGTGGACGGAAATCCTCCACTTCACAGGTGAGGGGCTGGGGGACGTGTGTAGGTTCCCTCCCGGGGAAAGAAAACACTCTCCTGGGTTTGCAGAGCGAGCTGTGGGGTGCAGGCACGGAGATGGCCGGGCTCTGCCCATGCCACCCTCAGCGGGGAGCGGGCAGGGACTAACTCCGCTCGATGCCGTAACCACGGGCTGTCTTCCCTCCCCAGAGCACAGCGGTCTCACCACGGGAGTGGCTTTTGGCCACCACGCCAAGTTCATTGCCTCAACGGGCATGGATCGGAGCCTGAAGTTCTACAGCCTGTAGCCCTGGGTGTGGGGCCGGGGTCTCACTGCCGTGCTGGGATTTGGGGTGGGAGGGTGGGAGGGAGTATCGGGGCGGGGGGGTGGGGAGGGAGGGAGGCAAGTGGTTCATTACTTCTCTGGGCTCCCCTGCTGTAGCTGTTGGCAGAGGGGAAGTTGGATGTCACCTTCCCCGTGCTTCATGAACTTGTTGTTTTAGTTTTCTTCTTTTCCAGTTTTGTGTGTGTCTTTTCTGGCTTTAGATTCTGTTCAGTGATTGTAACTGATGCAACAAAAGGCTCTAACCCTGGCGCTGGTGGATGTTTGTGGCTGGGATGTGTGGAAGGAGGGAGGGAGGGAAGGACTGTGCAGGTTTTGTAAGCAGTTATCTAGTTTCGTTATGGAAATAAAGAACTATTCACCATAGCGGTGTGTGCCAGCCCCTGTTGTCCTGGGAGTAAGGAAGGTTCCTGTGAAGGGCTAGGGTGTAGCACAGAGGCGAGGAGGCTCTGACACTGGGGTGGGCCGGGGGGCATCGCAGCCCCCAGCCAGCAGGGCTGAGGAGGGGAGCTGGGAGGAGGTGTGGGTGCTGCCAGCTCTGGGATGGGGACAGGGGACCCTCTTCTTCCCTCTCACCCCCCAGGGACAAACCACACCACTGCAGCCGCCAGCTTGAGCCGTGCTATGCACTGGTTTATTTTTCCAGCTTGCCCAGAGATGTCGGGTGGTGTCTGGCCTGAGGCAGGAGCTGCACAGAAGGAAGAGGAGAAGGAGGAGAGTGAGTTAGAGCTGGGATGAAGGGGCAGTTTAGGGAGCGGAGGAACACTTACCTAGTGCCTTTGAGCTCAGCTTCTCCGCAGCTTGGGGACCTTGGGGAAGATGACACATCCCTGGGAGGTGACCGTGCCCGTGGTTTCAGCTGTCCTCCTGTCCCCCAGAGACCGACGCGCTCCTGGGGAGGGCCAGGGGCTTGTCATGGAAAGCCGGGGCAGGCAGAGGTCCCCCCCCACACCGTGACCGGCTGCTGAGGAGGCAGACGGGAACCGGCGGCACCCAGACTTACGTGAAGGCACTCCCAGCTGGCAGGAGGGCCGGCAGGGCTCGGGCTGTGCCAGGTGGCAAACAGAAGCGCTGCACGAGATGTACACCTGAAAACCACGGGTGGGCCACTGTCAGCAGGCGACGGTGCTGGGGGCCCCAGAGAAGGTGCTCCAAGCCCCAAGGAACCCCCCACCCCAAGCAGCATGGGCTCCCCGTTGCCGTTGCGGGCCCGTGGCTGGGGACCAGAGCAGGACCGAGGCAGCAACGCTGTGCCAGCACCTCTGCACCACAGCCAGCCCGGGGGGGGGGTTTGCTCAGGAAAGGTGCTGGGGTGAGTTTTGGGGGTGTTGGGATGGGGGCTTGCTAACCAAGGGGAGGACCAGGGACGTCTGAAGTCCATGGCCAGCCCCCCTGGGGCGATGCTGCAGGGTACGCCTGGCCCCCTCCTCACCTCTCCCTCCAGCACCGCCATGGAGGGGGGCTCCACGAAGGTGAAGGTAGAGATGATGAAGCGCTGGTAGTGGCTTGGGAAGGGCAGTTGCGGCGAGGCCGGTCCCACAGGCACGAGCTGTGTCCTGTAGTTGTCCCCTGCAAAGGGGCACCTGGGCACATAAGAAGGACCCTTGGTTGGTGTGGATGACCCCCCCATCTGCCTTTCTCCATCCTCCTGTGTCCCCCTGCTCACCCATCCACCAGGATGGGCCACTGGGGCTCAGCCGCGGCGTCGGTGCTGGGGGATGCCCAGCAGTGGTGCAGGACCAGCACCAGGTTAGGGTCCGTCTTCTGCAGGAGGCGAACCTCCACGTAAATGGGGTCCCGGAGCACCCTCACCAAGGGGTAGTCGCCGTCGGGGTGGTAGGAGGTGTAGCTCTCGTCTGCAGGGAGGACGAGAGGCTGAGCGGGCTGAGGGTGGGGGGGACAGCGAAGGGGGGTATGGAGAATGGGCGACTCACCAGTGGCGATGCGTAACTGGAGCCTGAGTGGCCCCGGCATGGCCAGGGGGGCGGCCGTGGGGGGCATGGCCACCTCCACGCGGAGTGGCAGGAGGTCGCTGGCGTTGTAGATGCAACGAGCCTGGAGGCTGAGGGGAGCAGAGCGGACTTGGATGCCCCCCCCACCCCATGCCCTCCAGCCCCCTGCAGCATCAGCTTCCCCCAGCCCAAGGAGGGGTGGACACCGCTGGGGCATCTGCTGTGGGGGTCCCCGGTCCAAGCACCGGCAGGAGCAAGGAGTGGGGGAACTGCTCCAGTGGGGAGCTGCAGGCAGAGGGAGAGCCGGACGGGCTTTGCCAGGGCGGGTTCCGGCTCTCTGCCTATCTTTGCCCACCCTCCCCTTACATGTAGATGCTGTCCCGGGTGATGGAGCCGCGGGGGGAACCCTGGACGTCGATGGTGGAGATAAGCTGGTTCTCATAGATCAGCCGGTCCTCGATCACCTGAGGTAGACATGCACATGGGGTCAGGGTCCCCATCTGCGCTCTGAGGGGGGCCTCAGGGAGGGTGGGGGGGTGTCACATCCCTACCTGGACGGTGGTGCCGCACTGCGTGACGGGGAAGCGGAACATCACGAAGGTTTCCGTCACCCTGACGGGCTCGCAGCCGGCCTGGGTGCTGGCGAGGCGCACGCTGTCCAGGTTGTAAGGCTGGGTGGTGAGGCCCCGCGGCACCACCAGGACGAAGTGCCCGTCCAGCAGGCACTGCACAGTGGCTGCAGCACGAGGGAGCGATTCCATCAGCCTGAGCAACAGGGATTTGCAACCACCCCCCCACCACCACTTCTCCACCCCGGTAGGTGCTGGCCAAGGCGGTCGGCGATGGGGCATCCCCAGGGACCCCACCGAGCATCCTACCTGTGTTGCCGTAATAGCAGGGTGCGATGCGGTCCATGTCGTCGTAGCAGCAGCCTGCCTGCAGGCATGCCTCCCGGCCCTGCGGGGCCACGCAGGGCATCCTCCCCACCGCCACCTGGCACTGCTCCCTTGTCAACTGGGTGCCTGGGGTGGCAGAGACGGGACGCTGCCCTGAGCATCCCCCTCAGCATCCCCCTGACCTGCCCACCCAAGCATCCCCCTGCCAAAGCATCCTCCTGCCTGCCCCAGGCGTCTCCTCACAGCTGTGATCTGCTGCTCCGGGCACAGGGAGGACCCAGCCCCGGCTGCAGCTCTCCATCCCGTCACGTTGGCTTACCTGCCCCTGCTGAGTGGTAGAAGAGAGCCGTGGATTGCAGTAGACTAGGCTGGGATTGAAGCCCAGGATGCAGCAAGCCAGGCTGGGCTTGGGGCTGGAGTCCTGGGCGCACCAGCCCCGGCTGGGGCTGAACCTGAAGTCCAGGACGTACAAAACCTGGTCGGGACTGGAGTCCCGGGTGCACTAGACCCGGTCGGGGATGACCGGGATGTACCAGCCCAGCTTGGCTCTGGAGAACCGGGCGTACCAGGCCAGGCTGGGAGCCAGGGTGAGGCAGCCCAGTTTGGCTCTGGAGCCCAGGGTGGAGAAGACCAGCTTGGGAATGGGTCTGAAGGCTGGGGTGAGCTAAGCCCGGCTGGGTTTGGGGCTGAAATCCCGGGCGTACGAAGCCTGTTTGACTTTGAGCACCAGCGTGCATTAAGCTAGACTGGACACCGGCATGCACCAACCCAGGCTGGTTTTGGGGCACAAGCCCTGGACGAAGACGACCTGGTTGGGTTTGAGCCCCGGGGTGCACCAGCCCAGCCTGGTTTTGGGTCTGAAGCCCTGGGCGAAGAAGACCTGGTTGGGTTTGAGCCCTGGGGTGCAACAGCCCGGGCTGGGCTGGGGACTGCATGCCCGGGCGCATTAAGCCCCGCTGAGGTTGGTTGATGGGGCGAACCATGCCAGGCTGGGGCTGAAGCCCTGGGCGAACCAGGCTGGGCTGGGGTTGGGGCTGCAGCCCGGGGTGCACCAGGACCGGCTGGGTCTGAGCCACAGGGTGAACCTGCTCCGAGTTGGCTTGGGGAGAGAGCTGGCGTCCCGGGAGGGTGAGGGTGGACTGGGACGTGTGGTGCAGGAGGCCAGGCTGGGACAGGGGGACAAGGACATCAGTCTGGGTCTGGTGGACATTGTTGCCCCGACCGGCCCGGTGCTCGGTATGCGCATTGCCGGCCGTGAGGATCTCCTCGTCGCCCGGCTGCGGGCAGGTCATGTTGACTTCATAGGAGGCGGCCAGGACCCCGCTGAGCAGCATCTCCTCCAGCTGCACCCTCAAGACGTAGCGGTCCTCCTGCGGTGGGACGGGAGGGACAGTCTCCCCCAGCCTGCCGGCACCGGGGGGGGACCACGGGTGGGACGGGACCCTCACCTTCACCAGCACGTGGCAGCCCTCGTAGCCGGAGGAGAAGATGACGGCGCCGTCTGCCCCGGCATTGAGCCAGTGGAGGCAGATGGAGCAGTTGGCCACATCAAAGCGGGTGCCGAACTCGTCTGTGGGGACACCGTGGCCATGGGGGGGGGGGAGGCGAAGTGGCACAGCTGGGTGCCGTGGTGCTCCCAGGGGAGACAGGCGCACAGAGACCCTCCCCGGTAGCATGGCCCCTCACCAAAAGCTCATTCAAGCCATTGGGCTCATCCCATCAGGGCACAAGCACCCTGGGGTTTTGGGGTAACCCCACAGTGATCCAGCACACGCCACCCCAAGGAGACCCGGGTCGGGGGGGACCTCATGCCCACTCACCCATGACTTTGAAGCGGACGGTGCGGCCACGGGTGGGATACGCCTGCAGCTGCATGCCATAGTCCCCGCAGTCGTAGCGGTACCGCAGGAGCGAGAAGGCGGCTCCCGGCCCCAGGGGCAGGAGGAGAAGCAGCAGGAGGAAGGAGCAGCTCCGTCCCATGGCGGTGGCAGCAAGTGAGTCCGGAGCATGGGGCTCTCCGTGGCTTGGCACTGGGGGTCATGGATTTATACCCGGCCGACTGGGACATGGTGGGAGGGGGGGGAATCAGATGACCGGTGGGGCCGTGTCGGGACGGTGCCTCCTGCCCCGTGGCGGGGGGAATGAGCTCTGCCCCAGGGCTCCTCGCTCCCCTGCCACCAGCGACCTCGCTGCCCTCGGCCCCGTGGTCACCTCCTGCAGCCGTGCCAGGGTGACCGGGGAGGAACCGAAAACTGGTCAAAGCAGCTGTTTGTTTGTCCTGCGATGGGAGAGACTGTCCTTGCGAATGGGCAACGGAGACGGCACCGGCCAGGATGCCCAGCTGGACCAAGCCATGCGGGCAGGAGGAAGGGGCTGGCGTGTGCCCACCTTCCCCCTTGGCGCACAGCCTTGGGGTTTGCCATGAGCCGGTGGGGATCAGTGGTGGCATTTGGCTCCCCTATGGACACCCCTCTGCCAGGGCAGCCATGGGACCGGGAACCTGCAGAGGGACTGGGGGGGGGAGCACAGCAGCACAGTCCCAGTGAGGTCTGGGGGCTGGGGAATCAGAGAATTGTCCCCAAATACGCACCCCGTGGCTGCACACCCCAGCTCTGCTCCACTGGCAGTGCCACGGAGGAACCGAAAGTCCTTCGAAGAGCACTTTGTCCCGCGGAAGTGAGATGTCGGGAGAAACCGTTCCTGCAAATAGGGAATCGAGACTGCTGTCCTGAGCTTGGCGTGGGGCCAGGGGTCCCCAGGACACCCCTTATCCTGGCTGTCACCATCCTCTGCTCTGGGGTGCTTCCCGACACCCCACTCTCATGCCCGGCTGGGTGCTGCCCTCACCCTAGAGCAAGGGTGGTCGCGGTCCTGCCAGCTCTGCCATGGGGGGGCCCCAAGCCACGGGATGCTTGTCATCCCTCCGCCAAGGTCCCCGCAGGAAGGCAAACGGGGAGCCAGCTGTGGTCAAGCGATGGGCAGGCACCCAACAAAAAGCCAGAGCTGAGTTTCACCTGCGTCCCAGCATGCGGAGGAAGGACCTTGGTCCCTTTGGGTGGGTGCTGAGCGCAGCGCTTTGTGGGTTCCCTCTGCCTCCCTCTCGAGAAATTTCCCTTCTGGGTCTTATCTTTATGGTAGACTAAACTGAGTCACCCCACACACACCCTCCCCTGTCCCTTGCTGGTGTGACGGTCACAGCCGGCTCCTGCACCATGCCAGGCGTGAATGAGCCCTGATGCCCGTTTGTCATCCTCCATCCCAGCCCAGGTGCCAGCCTCAGCGTTTTTGGGGGTTTCAAACCTTCCTGTCTCATGGGAGCCGCTGTCCTCAGCATTCCCAGGGGAACCCCCCCCCAGCTCCGTGCAGGCACGGGGACTGTGTCAGCTCACGGCACCGAACCCAGGCTCATGGCAAAAGGGCGTGTGGAGCTGGGGGTTTGGCTGTAGCCCCCCAAAAACTTTAACCGCCTCATTAAAGAGAGGTATCAGCTACAGCAACAATCCCCTGAGCCATGGCTGCGCCTACATATGCACTTATATACACACAGGGGTCCTCCCACGTGCTGTCACCAGGACCTGGTGCCCCCCTCCCATGAGTGCAGGCAGGATCAGGCAGCGCCGGCTGGCAGGGTGCATTTTATTGAGTGGGGTGGCAAGCCTGGGGACTGGCTCCTTCCCCCCGCCAGCCTCCCCACAGCCATCACAGCTTCATGGTGGCGGCAGAACCCAGGTGGAGCTCCAAGAATTGAATGATCTCCCGCCATGAGTGTTCCTGGGCCTTGGCGTGGGGTTGGGCTTCACCCCCCCAAGCCACTGGCCGGGGGGTCCCCCGGATGCTGGAGATGCTGCAGAGGGGCGAGCAGGGGGGCTCGATCAAGTGCCCGGCCCCAGGGTAAGAGAGGAGGCGGCAGCTCTCCGGTGGCATCCGTGCCATGGCCAGCTCAGCGAAGAGCTTGCTGTTGAAGCTGCGGTCGGCCTCCCCCACCACGAAGAGGACCTTCCCCCGGACCTTCTCGGCCGGGATGGCCGAGGCACTGTACGCGGGGTCCCGGGGATCGGCGAAGATGGCCGAGTTGTCCAAGGCCCCCATCTCTGTGAAGATCATGCGCTCGGCATAGTAGGGGATGGGGGGCATGCAGAGGTCTTTGTAGACCAGCGGGTTGCCATGGAGGAAGGCTGTGCCGTTGATCCACACCGTGGCCACCACCTGTGGGAGGAAGCTGGCCATGGCCAGGGCCACCTCTGCTCCTTTGGAGATGCCGATGACACCCAGACCGGGGCCTCGCACCTGCAGTGGGGGAAAACAGAGCAAGCTGGCAGCACCGCATGCCGGGACATCACCAGGACGTCCCCAGTCACCAGGACATCCCATTCACTGGGACATGGCTGCTCACCAGGGCATCCCCAGTCACCAGGACGTCCCTGTTTGCAGGGGCCACCCGCCACACTGCAGGGCTCACCTTGGGGTGCCGGAGGAGCAGCTCGGCCGCCTCCTCAAAATACTCCAGGTCGAGCTGGGTCAAGGTGCGGGGCAGGTCGTCGTAGGCGAAAAAGGCCAGCGCCAGCACTGCGAAGCCCCGGCTGGCCAGCAGCCCCGCACGAAACTCAATGAGGCCACCCGCACCCCCAAACAGGTCGATCACCCCTGGGAAGGGTCCTGGTCCTGCGGGCAGCCAGAGAGACCGTCACTGATGGGGGACAGGAGCCGCCAGTGCTATCCCACACCCCAGGGGTCCCAGCTGGTCCCGAGGTGTCCCCAGGGAGCCAAGGCTGGGCAGCCCAGGGTTCCCCGTGCCCCATTTCTCACCGGGTGGCAAGAAGAGGGCTCCACGGACCCTGCCCTCCCGGATGGGCACCCGCTGCATGCCGGGACACACGTACCACCGCTCAGCCACGCAGGAGGCCAGCGGCTGGTCCTGAGGTCCAGTGACCAGGCAGAGGCCGTCAAAGACCTCCAGACGGACAAGGAAGGGGCTGCCGGCCACATCCCGCTTGACCAGCCGTCGGAAGAGGGTGTCGGGCTGCAGGAACCAGAAAAGCCCCATGGGCCAGACGCCGGCATAGCTGCCGCCCAGGGCGGCGTGGCACCCGGGATCCACCTCGCCTGCGCCGTCGGCGCGGAAGAAGGCACGCGCCTGGAAGCATTCGCCCTGCTCATCCATCAGTGATGCCCGCAGGGTGACCAGCTGGGAGGGGGACAGCCCCCGCACCCTCATCTGCACCGGCCGGTCGGCCAGCGAGGACTGCGGCGTCACCGTCACCTCCACCATGGTGCACCTGGGGAACGGAGATAAGCATCACCCCCGAGCATCCCACTCAAGCCCCACGGTCACACCGCCCAGGGAGGGGGCTGCTCGGTGGCCCACCGCGGGCTGGCAGCAGGGGATTGTCCCCAGGGATCCTAACGAGGGGCCACGGGACTTGGCGATCACACCACAGGGTTTGCAGCCCACCCGGTCCCGCTGACATCCCTCCTTTCATGGTCCCCGGCCCCCCTCCCCGGCACCTCCTACCCTCTAAGCCCAAACTTGCCTGCAGCAGCCCCCCCAAACCTGCCCGGCGGCAGGGACACCCACAGACACCTTTTTCTTTTGTCCCCCAGCCCCGGTGCCCCCAGCACGCACCATCCCCTCTCCCTGTCCTCCTCCTCTGCACCTCGGGACCGGACCAGGGTAGGGGGTTGGGGGAGCAGGGACAAGCTGGGGGGCAGAGGCTACAGGCCCCCCAGTCCCATACAAACCCCGTTTTCCCTCTGCACGGCAGGGCGGGCAGGCAGGCTGTGGCAGCACGCCGGAAGCCTGACAAGGTGCTGGTCCCAGTCCAGCCCTGGGAGGAGACGCTGAGTCCGCCCACGTACACCCCACCAGGAAAGCAGGACAGCCCCAAAGCCCTGAAGCCACAGGGATGGGCTCCAAGCCCCCTCTTACCAGGCCTGGGGCGAGGCTGGGCTGGTGGTGTGGCTCTGAGGAGGGAGTGGGTGGGAGAGGAGGGCTCTGCCTGCCCCACGCTCCCTTATATTGCCTCATTAATCATTAATCTGGGAAGCAGCGAGGGCAGAGCCCTACTGCCCGATGACCCAGGCCAGGCTGGCAGCCGCCCCACAGCTCCTGCCAGGTCCCTCACCCTTCGACTGTGGCACCCCTCAACGGGGTCTGCCCTGTGTATGGGTGGGAAACCCCCAATTCCTATTCAGTGGGGGCAACAGGAAGCTCTATCCCCCCCCCCCCCCCCAATTTGGGGTCCCCTGAGCCCCCAGCCTGTGATTAACCCCTCCCCCTGCTTCATTCTGCCTTGGGCAGGGGGGGCACAGGGCCAGCTCCCCCCACAGCCACAAGCTGCTGGGCCCGGGCATCACCATGCCCTCCCCCATCGGGGCTCCCCACTGCAAGCACGGGCTTATCCTCCCTGCAGCCTTGTGTTTGCCCACCCAGCGACACCCTTGGCACCCTCCCAGCCCACCGGTCTGGCTCACAGCAGGCTGAAGACACAGCCCTCAACAGGAACGCAGAAAGGGGCATTTATAGGACAAGAAAAACCAGGAAGGTATAAAGATCTGTGTGGGTTTCCCACTCCAAGCCCCCGCCTGCAAACCCACCCCGCAGCAGTGCTGCCCCCCAGCATCCCCAGAGAAGGGCGACAGGAGGCTGCGCTGCACGGTGCAATCCCCTCCCATCTCCGCAGCGTAGCAAAGATGTGCCCCCTCCCTTTGTGACAGGCACCAGGGCTCATTCCTGGGGGGGGGCAAGACCCCTCTTTGAGGAAGGGGAGCCTCAGGGAGTGAGGGAGCCATGGTGCTCTGCGATCCCAGGAAGGCTGAGGGAGATCTGCCTCAGCAGAGGGAAGGCTCCTGAGCTGGAGCCACCAACCCACCCTGAGCTGTTGGAGGCGAGTCTGGGTCAGTTCCTATTCGTTTTTATAAAGAAAAAGCAGATTTGGGTAGGTGAAGCAGTTCTCCTTCCAGCCCCTGGCTGTCAGCAACACCCCAACTTCACAGGGCAGGGGGGATCCAGAAGCTGGTTCCTGCGGGTCATGGTGCTGTGTAACACACCCCATCTCTGTCCCGCTGTCTGTCCGACACTGAGGGCCCAGGCAGCGACTCCTGCCCACCAAGCCAGGGAAGCACCCCTGGAGAGAAGCAGGAGCCGTAGAAACCTCGGCTGCCTGGGCCGGGCATCGTGGTGCCCCGTTTCCCGTCTCACTCCATGGCTGCTTTGCGCCGCACGGGTGTCTTCTGGAGCAGGGCCAGCGTGTCCCGCTTCTCCACCCGCCGCAGCTGCTTCTTCTTTGCCCGCTTGAGCTTCAGTGGGTTCCGGATCTGGGAAGGGGGAAAGAGGGCTTTCAGGCACAGAGACCGCACTGGGGGGAGCCAGGTGAGATGGGCACGGCAGGATTCCCAGCCTCCCACCCCTGCAGCATGGCCAGCACAGCCCACACCGGAGTCAGGCCCCTCCGCACGGAGCTGTGAGATGAGATCTTCTTCCTCTTGCTGCCAAACCAGCAGACATAGCAATGACCAGAGTCTGGCTCCTGATCAGATTTATCCTAAAACTCCTTCCTGGGAACATCTCCAAGTTGCTGCAGCTCTTTTGTTGGAGGGGACAGCCAATAATCCCATCCTCACCACCACCACGTGGTTGTGCAGATCTTCACCACAGCCACCCTGAGTTCCCAGGTCTCTTCCAGATAGAAAAGCTACGCCTTCCCCATATGAAAGCACAGCATGCTTGGATCCCCATCAGTGCTGTGTTTCCCTTGCTCTATCACTCCGTGTGCCGGCCATCCCCGGGGCAGCCTCAGTTCTGGTTTTCTCAAGCTTGAAAGAGAAGCTGTCCCTCACCCCACCCTGCAGGACATCAGCTGCCAGCTCAGCAGAAGAGTCACCCTCCTGCTGTAGCTGGGTTTGGTTGGATTTCCCCAGTCCTCCCAGTGCTGCTCACAGTATCCTTCAAAGGAGGAGCCAAGGAAAGGAACTGGAACAAACTGGAGCCCAGTACCCAGGGTGTGGAGGCCGCTGGGTCTGCCAGGCCACCGCAGTGCCCCCCAACCAGGAGCGGGGCTGCAACTCACCACTTGCACAATCTCCGCCTTCCGCTCATTCTCCAGGCGCCGCTTCAGGTTCTCCTCCCGCCGCCGCTTCTTCTCCTGCGGGAGCAGCACCAAAATGTTCCTGTGCGTCCCTCCCTACCTCCCTCTGGGCTTAAACCTAAACTAGCATCAACCTGTAGCTGATGCCAACACCAGTCAGAGCGCTGCACGGCTATGGCAGCACAAGCGACACCTGCCCAAGCATGAAATCTGCTGCACGAAGTCAAACCAGCAGCACTTTTTCCCCCCGCTGGCACGAGCCTTGAACTGACTGAGCGAGTTTATTCCAAGTCAGTGACTTGCAGCATGTGACTATTGCAGCCTGGATTTGGCACGACGGCAGGGAATTCACTGTCCCGGCTACCCATGAGAAGGGCAGCCAGTGCTATTTGTGCTCACTGTGGGGCAGGCAACCCACAGGGCTTTGCCAGAATAACGCCACGGCCCCGAAGCCTGGGATGAGGGCAGAGACACGGGGTTGCGTATGGAAAGAGGTGGAAAGTCTCTGGTCACGGCCTGACTCTGCAACACGTCCCTCAGCTCGCCCTAGCAAAGGGAGCGGGTAGCTTCAGCCTAGGGGTGGGACAGCAGAGGCCCCGGCTGCCCGGCAAACCTGCCCCATGGGGTGCCAGTGTCACGAGCATGGTCACTGCCCCATGGAGACAGCAGGCACAGAGAGGCTGGGCGATGCTACCTGCAGGGTCTTGAGCTCAAGGCCCAGCTTCCGAGCCCCATTACCTCTCGCTCTCTCTGCTTCCCCTCCTGCAGCTGCCGTGCCAGGTCCCGGACGAGCTTCCTTTCCTGCCGCTCCTTCATCTTCCGTGCCCAAGAGGTGCGAAGGGCCTTGTCCTGGATCATGTGTGAGAACCTGAGCAGGCAAATGAGCCATGTCAGCAGCTGGAGGAGGCAGAGCTGAGCTCCCTGTGGCTCACAGAAACCCTACACGGCCTTGCCCACTCTGGGTCCTCTCCAGAAACTTCTCAGGCCAGAACTGTGTCAAACCCTCCCAGCTCAGAGCCTCCCACGGCAGCCTCGGCCCCTCGACAACCCCTCCCAACCCTTCCCTCAGCTCAGGACTCCCCCAAAGCAGCCTTGTCCCCTCCTAAAGTCTACAGACCGCTCCGGAATCCCCCTTACGAACCACCTCCATGACCCCATCAAAGCAGCCCTGCCCGCCCCACATCCCCTCCCGGCCCAACCCACCCCCAAAACAGCCCTGCCCCCTCCCAGAGCCTCCCTCCGAGCTCAAAAACCCCCCAAACAGCCCTACCTCCACCAGAGGCCCCCCCAAAGCGCTCCCCCCGAGCCTGCAGGCCCCCCTCCCAGAGGCCTGACCCCCTCCTCCCCGCGCCCACCTCTTCTTGCCGGGGTCCTTCCACACCCGCCCCGATTTGGGCCTGCCCCGCGGGATCACTACCGCCGCCGCCGCCGCCTCCTTTCGCTTCTTAGCGGCTTTCCGACGCCGCCGGGCCGGGGTCGGGACCGGGGCCGCCCCGTTGGACTCCTCAGGGCCCGGACCCAAGGCCGGGGCCGCCCTGCACTCCCCTTCCATTTCTCCACGCTGCCCCTTCCCGGACGGCGCCGGGCGATGACGTCAGAGGCGCGCCGCGCCGCCGTACGCATGCGCAGAATGGAAGAGAGGCGACGCTGAGCCCCCGACCGCCATTTTAGTGTCGGGCAACTCCTCCCGCTTTCCCAACGGCGCCGGGCGGAGGGCCGCCATGTTTGTACCGGGCAGGGAGAGTCTAGGGTTGCCCGTCATCCCGTGGTGGCGGCGGTCAGTGCCCGGTGCCCTTCACCCACCCCCAGTTCCACCCGGTGAGGCCCCACACCCCCCCCCCGAGCGAGTCCCGGAGAAATGCGTGGCCTGGGCCGGGGGGAGAGACCTTTATTGGGGGCCAAACACGCAGAGGGGAGAGGCCTCCTTCCCGGGGCCAGGCCCAGGCCTGGGGCCGGGGCTCCGAGGGCTCTCGGGCTCCGGTCAGCTCCACCGTCAGGGACCAGGGAGGTCTCCCCCCGCCCTCCCCGGGCTCTGGCACCTCGGCTGCAGCAGGGCTGGGGCGTGCGGCAGTTCTTAACTGGACAGTTGGGGGCTTGGTCATGGCTACGGCGCCTGGGAGAGGGGAAAAAAGGGGAAATCCAGCTTTTAGGGTCACGTAGAGAAACCCCTGTGGGTTACCAGCTCGGTGTGTCACCTCAGAGGAAAGAAGGGGGTGGGTAATGCTGTCCCACTCCTCCGAAATGCAGGAGCCAGCACCCCAGGGCTCTGGGCTGTGACGGGGCCCCGGCGTCCCCTCACCATGGGCATGTAGTTGTGCTGCCTGATGGCATTGTAGCCAAAGGCCAGGGCCGCCACCGCCACGCAGAACTCCAGGAGGCTGAAGATGACGAACATGGAATCCAACCCGTTGGTCAGGATCTGCGAGGAGGAGAGCAGAAGGGTCCTGCAGGTCCCGCTCGCTGGCAGGACCCCTTGTCCCCCTCTTCTGCCTGGCAATCGCCCTGTTTGCTTGTGCCGCGCAGCAGTGGGAGGCTCGGACCCACCGCCTGAGCAGGACCAGGAGGCTTTACCTTGTTATCAGCGTTGAAGCACCACTCAGCTTTCAGCTGGTACGGCATGTTGGTCTCGCAGCCAGGGGCATCGTGAGTGATGGCCGTGGTGTGGACAAGAGTGGCCACCAGTGTGCTCAGGATGACCCCCATGTTGACAACGCAGCAGGTCTTCACCTGTGTGGGTCACCTCACATCAGCAGCTCTGTCCCTTCTGCTCCCGCCAAGAGCACAGGAGCTGTGTGGGTGGCAGCATGATGCCCATCCTGCCAGAGACCCCCCACAAGGTGCCACAGAGCCCGGGGAGAGGCTGCCTGGGGCTTTTGGTTTGAGCTGTCTGAGCAGGGATGCCTCCAATCTGGATTATTCAACTCAGATCAGATATGCTGCTGGAAAAGCCACCCAGGGCAGCCACCCTCTGTGACGCCTTTTGTCCCCATCATCCGAGAGTGACTCCACCAGGCCCCAAGCATCTTGTGGAAGCCCTGAATCATGAAGGATTGCCCACCCTCTGCTTGAGAGGGAGAGAGCTGGGCACCTCCTGAGGGTGAGACAGGCCTGAGGTGCCTCGCTGTAGACCCTGCAGGGTGAATCCAGGCTGCGGAAGGGTCCCACGAGCCGCTGGAAGGAACAGAAGTCACAGAAGCAACAGGAGATGCTTTGCCCCTCCCAGCCTGGCTGCAGGGGACCTCCTTACCAGCAAGATGTTATCTCTTTTTTCACTTTCCACCAGCAGAGAGCCTGAGACCAGGAGCTGCTCAGAAAACAGAGGAAGGAGGGCGTCAGCAGCAAGGCACCCCTCCCTGTCACCCATCCCGAACATCCTGGTGCCCCTCTGGCTGCAAATCCGTGTTTGGCGCTGCACGCACACCCCCTCCATCCCCAGAGGGGACAGCCAGAAGATGTGGGTGTAAGAGGAGGCCCTAGTGACAAGGAAATCTGATCCACGATCTGCCAAGATCCCCCTGTCCTCATCGGACAGTGAAGAGGTGAAGGCCAAGTATGTCCCTGCTTACCAGGAGCCCGAGCCAGAAGAGGACCCCGCTGGCCACAGGGAGGGAAGGTTTCCTGTACTCTGACACCGTCAGGATGATCCCAAAGCAGACATGAATGATCCCAGTGAAGATGTGGATGGTCTGGGGAAGGACAGGGGAGAAGGATCCCCCCGGTCACTCTTGACTCAAAGCACTGCCTGTCTGCCAGCACCAGCAAAGGATGGATATCACTGTTGCTGTATAGCTGCGTTCCACCCTGATCCCACTGTCACACCACGTCTTGACTGCACCCTGCGGTGCTGAGAAGGGACTCGGGATTGCTGGGTGTGTGGGCACTTGGCGCAGCAGCGTGAGCCGGCAAAGGGAGCTGGTTTCAAATGTCACCTCTGCCCCAGCCAAGGAGAACCTCAAGCAGGACAGTCCCTGGGGATACTTAGTCCCCGCTTTGCCCCTGTGGTGCCGCATCACCCCAGAATGCCATCTCTCACCCCCAGCGCCTTGGGCTGAGCCCTTCTGAAGCCTCTGACTTGAAATGACAACGTGGCGGATGCAGGCAGCGTGGAGCTGGAGGCCAGCTGGGCCGCTCGGGGGTCTGTGGCTGGGATGACCTCCGTGATGATCCTCATGCCTCCGGACTCAGTCACCGTGGTGGCTGCCATCGCCTGTGGGCAGAGTGGGGCTGAGGAGCCGGGGCAGGTGGGGAAGTTGAAGGACCAGGCCAGCTCCCACCCTGCTGGGGACCAGCACATGGAACGTGTCCACATGAGCGGTGACACGAGAAGCACTGACATCCTCTTACAAGGATGTCCCACACCCCATCCTGCACCCCACACCTCACCCCCCCACCCAGGTACCTCCTTCAGCCTGGGCTTGCCCTCCTCCTCCTCTCCACAGCCACCGTTAGCGGTCCCTTCGCTGTTTGAAGCTCTCTGGGAGGTGGTGGTCAGGCAGGGACGCGATCCTGCTGCCCTTTGCTCCCTGCAGGAAGTTTGTTCATGGAAATGTTGTCAGGCCCCTCTTGCTCAATGAAGTGGCTTTGCCAATGGAGGGGAGAGAGGCTGGCAAAAACCCTGCACACATCCGCCTGTGCACACGAGGTGGAGGGAGAGGGAGGCAGGGAGAGGGGCTTTGCAAGCCCGAGGTGGTCACCCCCTCCGAGGGCTTCGCTGCAGCCTGGGGAAAGGGTTGGATGCTTGTCCCTTGGGGTGTTCCAAGGAGGAGACCCCCCTGCCCAGTCCTGGGTGAGTCATCTCCTTCCCCAGTTGCAGACGCTTTGCTTGGGCATCATCTCTGCAATTAGCTATGTGCCAGCCGTGGCAGAGTCCTAATGAGGTACTGGGAGGTTCATTTGGCTACCCTCGTTAGGGCCACTACGAGACAGCCAGCCCTGGCAGTTTCTCTTACAAGAAAAAAAAAAGGAGTGAAACAGGACATGGCACAAACACTATAAACCCCATTAGTTTATAAAGATCCCAAGGAAGCTCCTTTATTGCTTTTTTATTTTCTTTGGGATTCTCCTTCCTTCATGAGCGCCTCGACCCTGTGGGTCTGTCCCTGGTGAGGACAGCCCACCCACAGGAGCGAGCCAGGGGGGCGGCAGCACGGCGTGCGGTGCCGGACGGCTCCGGCACGGGCCCGGTGGGAGCTAAAGGAAAGGAGATGTGGTTGTTTCCGATAGGAAATGAGAGCTCAGCCTGGGAACGGAGCCACCGCACATGGCGAGGAGCTCCCGAGGGGCAAGCTCGGAGGCCCCTTCCTCCCTCTGCCGGCCACCGGTCTCCAGTTCTGCCAGAAAACAGCTATTTCCTTCGTGGCCGCCATCCCCCATCTGCTCGCCAGGAGGGCTGGGGTCCTCCACGCTGGCCTGCGAGGACCCCCCAGGTTTCCTGGACGTTTGATGGGTGCGGGGTAGGATGCTGTGGGGTACGACACTGGGTGCTAGTCCTGTCCCCTCTCGTCCTCATCCTCCCCTGTGCTCAGTAAAGTCTCCAGCACTGGACGCTGCAGAGAGCTCCAGTTCTGGGACTGCACAGGGGAACAAAGTCCCCCATTCCCAGCGGGGCTGCTCTGCAGGAGAAGGGAAAAAGGGACAAACAGGACGAGGTTTGACTCGACCTCCACCCATGAGACCAGACATGGGAGCTGGTTTGGGGAGCAGGCAGGAGGGTGCAGGGCTGGTGGACATGGCTCTGGGACTTCACTTGGGCTTTTTTTCCTCTTTTGGAGGCTGCAAATGCCTGACCGCTGCCCAGGGCTTTACCAGAGCTATTTCTTGGTGGAATAGGAATATTTAGGTACAGGGTTCTGGCATCTCTGGCTGCAGGCAGCTAGGGCTGGCTTCACACCACGTTGGCAGCCACGGGCATCGCCAGCATTAGGGACCCCAACACCCCTGTCCCTGCTTGAGCCTCTCACCACAGACCCAGGAAAGGCCAGGACCCTCCACAGCCTGCTTCCAGCTGAGGATTTTAGGAGCAGGTGGAGCAACTTTTGGAAGTGCCTTTTCCTTTCCTTTGGCCCTAGAGGGAGCTGAGACGCCTAGTTTGGAGGCACACTGCTTCCAGAGCTTGGCAGAGGCTTCCAGCGCTGGGGTGCGAATCCCCAGCGAGGGGTGAGCAGCAGCAAGCATTCCCCCCCCATCCTGGGCTGCCCTGGGAGAAATCAGGGGATCGGTTGTACCAAAGCTGGGCACAGGCTGTAGGTCACGGAAAGCGGCCATGTCTCGGTGTCTCCCAGGTGAGCAGAGGCACCAGCAGCACGGCCACGTCCTTGGCTCTTGAGTTTGCAGAGATGCTGGAGTGAAGCTGTCTGGCCATGTAACCCCACAGACCCTATGTTTCTCCAGGGACTTTTCCAAAGGCTTGCTCTGCATCCCTGCTGTGCAGGCTGGAAACCAGGGGACTGACCAGCAGCTGACTGGGGTGTTGGCCATGAGCCTGGGAGCAGGATGGCACTGCAGAGGAGGGAGCAGGACGTCAGGCAAGCCTCAGCAGCCGAGCTGGGGCTGCGGGGTCTCAGCTCTGCCCTGTCCCATTTTGGGTCCTTGCAGCCAGACCATTTCCCAAGCTCCTTGTCTGTTGGCTGACAAGAGGGAATACAGTTGGTCTGTGCCCTCCCAGTCCTCCTATGCTCTGAGGAATGGAAGGATTTTCGGCACAGCTGCAGGAGTTGTTGGACTGGTAAACCTGCAGCGCTGCTGAGCACTGGCCCCAGAAGATTTGCCTATAGGTGGGGGGCACTCCCACCAAACCAGCCTAAATCAGGTCTCAGAAAAGAGCTGGTAGGACAGTCCTGGCCAGCAAGGAGCAGCGAGTAAATCACATCTCCACCCCGGCACCTGCCTGGACTCACTCTGCCTCCGGGCAGGCAGCAGGAGGAGAGGACAGGGGGCTTGCCGGGCAGCACTGCAGCCCACCTGCATCCCCCATCCCACGGTGGAAAATATCAGGCGGAGAAAAGCTGCTGCTGACAGCACCAGGCGCTCGCAGCCCTTGCGTGCTGGGGAGGAGCTGCCGATGGCGTTCCTCCATCCTGCAGCCCCTGCGGGGGAGCGAGGTCTTGGCCTTGTAAAGGGCTGCAACTGGCGGCACAGCTTTCCAGGAAAAACACAGAGATGGATAAGATTCAGCCACGCCTGTTCATCGCACTCCCGATGCCTCTTAGACTTTAATTTCTGCTGGTAACTCATCAGCGTGTCTCTCCAGAGGGAGAGCCTCTCTCGACACCCCAATGATAACAAATCCTGTGCTGGCTGGGATCTTGTTCCAGCCCCGGCAGCACCCAAGGGGTAAGGAACACTTTAGCACCCGTGGAAATGCTGGGATCCCCTCTTTAGCCTTTATACAGGCAGGGTGTCCTCCAGCATTAGCAACGGCTTGTGTTCCCAGCTGAAACTGCCTGCTATGGTGGATTTCCTCCCAAATCCGCCTTTTCAGATTCCTAAAGCATTCCTGAAGTTTCAGCCTTTCAGCCAGAAACAGCCGTGACTGCCCTCAACCCGACAGCCAGGCTTGGTGAAGTGGCTGAGCAAAACCCCTTTCCGTGCGAGGTATCCGTGGAGAAAGCGCTTTTCCCTTTCTAAATAAAGCCAGGTCCAGCTGGGGATGGCAGGAGCCCAAGGTAGGATGTTACGATTTATTTTGGAAACAGATGCCAGAGGAGGTGAAGCTTTTTAGCGTCTGGCTGAGCAGATGCGGGGAAGTGGCAAGCCCGGTCGGTGGAGCCTTCCAGCCCTTTATTTACAGGAATTTCTGGCTTTGCTGATATATACAACGCGTTCCTTGGATTTTAATTTTTTTTTTTTTCAGTATTTTGGTCAAGTTTTGCTCTCCTGACAGCTGGAAATCTTTTCTTTGCTGATTATTCTTCCTTTTAAATCTCCAGGAGCCGCTCACGCACGGGTTGAGTGCTGGTGCCGGGCGAGATGACTGCCCCACGAGCGTGGCTTTCGGCACAGCTGGAGGAGTGCAGACACACCTGGTCTGGTGGCTAGGGACTCCCACATCGATGGCTTCGGTACAACGGTCCGGTGTCCCTTAGGATGTGAAGGGACAGGTGGGGGAAGCCTGGCTGGGTGCTCAGGCTCCGGGGGGTTCAGCGAGAGCCCCCCCCCCCCCCCCCCCCCCCCCCCCAGCATCCCCTCCCACCAGCGCAGGACAAGTTTACGAGCCTGGTGGAACCGAAAGTCCTTTTCCAACCCAAAAAGCTCCTGCTTTTTTCCAAAGAAAATAGATTGCGATGGAGAAATGCTTTTCACAGAAAGTTGCTGCTTCCTGTGAAAAACTTTATATCCCCATTAAAATACCAAATGTCAACATTTTGCTTTGCCTCCAAATGTTTCTAGTTCTCACAGGGCTGTTATGATACTAGTTCCAGAATGAGAAAGCCACATTTTCTGGGACAGGTTTCAAGTTTTCTCAAAAAAAATGCAGCTGGCTTTTATCTGTACCGTGTTCCCTGGGAGGCATAGCAGTCCCTGGGTGGTGATGATGCCAACCCTTATATTTTCACTGCAGACAAACACACTGGTCTGTAATCCCAAGATCATGGTCTGTGTTGTCCCCACTCTTGTGTCCCAAAAACCCATGGAAGGAGCCTCCTCTGAGGGTGTTAAACACTGAGGTACCCATCCCGGCTTAGGAAATCTGGAGCTGAGAGCAGGCAGAGGCAGGCAAGGAGGCTGGGGGAGCATCACTGCCTGCTGGGGTGGTCCTTTACCTTTTTCGTGGCACACGGCTGGTCGAGGTGGCTGCTCCAGCGCTGGTGGGAATAGCTGTGGCGGGACATTTCTTCTCTTTGGCACCCTAGAGACTTCAGCTGCCCCAAGGAAACGCAACAGAGAGGGAAATGCATTGTGAGAAGGGAGCTCAAACCGCAACCAGAGACAATCTTTCAAGGCAGGGACTGCACCACGGAAAACCCCTCGAAGAAGGGGTTGTCACATGTGGCACTGGCAGAGCCAGCGTCTGTTCCAACTCTCCGTGAAACCCCCACCGAACCACCCTAAAGGTTTTTGGACAGGAGTGCGTTGGGGGGAGTGGGGTTGTGCTGTCATTTGGGGTGCAGCGGCATCGCTTCTAAAGCCTGTCCCAGATGCGTCCATCATCGCCTTCCCGCCACGCTCCAGCTTTTGATCGGTTCACTCCCAGTAAAACTCCTG